TTTTCACAGATTGAAATCATGAGTCAGTTGAAGCTAGACCACCATTGAAAACCTGGAAGCACTGGATGGCCGTTTCGTCCTAGTATGGGACTCCTCAGCAGTTCGCACCCAAGACAATGGTATATGGTGGCGCAACTTCGTGGATTGGTTGAAGTTAGACATTAACACCGTTGGATGCCGGCTCAATGATCTAATGGCTAAGTGCTCGCGCGTGAAGCCAGTAGGTTCTGGGTTCCAATCCCGTGGGGTGCGTGATCGTGGATACGCACTGCTGAGGAGTCCCATACTAGGACGAAACGGCCGTCTAGTGCTCCCAGGTTTTCAATGATGGTCTAGCTTCAACTGACTCATGATTTCAATCTGTGTATATTATATAACCTTTTTCTTCATTCTTAAGTCATTTTTCCAAATTTTACTCTGTTAATTTGTTATTACAAAACTTGACATCAACTTTAATTTTTTTTTAGAAACTTGTTGCCAAGTGTTTCAAAATTTTTCTTCTGAAACTTTAACACAAGTTAATATTGAATACTTTCTTAATTCTTCCATGTATATTGCCCTTATTTTATTAACTTTTATGAATATGATTTAAAATATGTACATTGATTTTACATTTTTGTTGTTGTTGTTGTTGTTGTTGTTGTTGTTGGGACGTTGTATGCAATTGAAGAGAAATCACAAAATAAATGAATTAATCTTATTCGATTAAATTTATTATTGTTGCTTTAATAAAGATTCAGTATTGGATTTGTACATAAAATCGATTATAATTGTAATGATTTAAAAAATTTTTTAGAACGATTTTACCCGATATTTGAACATTCGAGTAATAACAGTTATCAACATTCATAACTTTAAATTCAACGGTTAATCGAATATCCTTTTAGATAAATTCTATAGTGACAATTAAGAATTTCATGGAAATACGTTTTAGTAAGTGAGGTGATAGGGGTTAAATTAACTCACCTTAGAAACCCGTTTAAACTTACTGAAATTTAGAATTACTTAGAGTAAACATCTTTAAGATTCATATAATAAAAAGAGATGAAACCAAATAGTGGAGACCAGGATATTTATATCACAACGCGTGATATTATGAATACATTTAATGATTTCAACAATACCATCATGAAATTTGTGTAAATAAACCATAAATTGAACAACATCAGAACTAGGACTAATGAATCAAAACTATTCATACCAGTACGTAGTATATACGAAATAAAGATTAATTTAATTACCAAATGTTAAACTTTCATTTTGAGTTCCATAAGTGATTAACAGTAAAAGTAATTATTTATTTAAGCCTATTTACGTAAGCAGTTACTCGTTAACTACAAGTTGTTGTCAGTATTATAAATAACTGATCTATTATTATTACCATTACTATTATCGTGATTATACGATAATAGCTGACGGAAATTAAGGTAAACAATGGTTCTGAAAAACAAAATAAGGATATATATATATATATATATATATATATATATATATATATATATATATTAAACAGCTTGCTATAAAATATGTTAAGGAATTAAAAATATCTTGTGATTATTGATAATGTTACCAAAAAAATGTTTTAAAGGTGAATGTAAATTCTCTGTTTTGAATATAGAATGTAACATTTAGAATTCAAAGATAATATATTGTACCGGTAAACACAATCAAGAAGATAACTTTGATAAAATAATTTTTGACAGTTGAACTGTATTAGTTGAACACTAACATTTATGCCATAAGTATCTTCATCACAATATCATCATTATTACTTACTTTACTTAATTACGCCTAATATCATCATTATAGACATGTATTATGATTAACTTGTACAACTCATAAGACAAGGGTAGAGTTAAAATTTACGACTACAGTTATAACAGTGCTATATCTATCTACCAAATTAAACTTCCATGCTCTGAAATAACATACATTAAAACGGAACTCTAGTGAGAAATGTATTAATTGAAGAGTCAGTAAAATAATAGGATGTAGAAAGAGAAGGTTAAATGTTAGGAAAATAAAATCTTTTCTAATCAGAACAAGCTCAGGCGCAAGTTCGATAATGCAATAGGTCTCTGAAAAAAAAACAGTCCCAGCTACTACGATACGAGTATTTTCTTTGAGTTTTTTAAGGATGAACATCCCTTGTTTTGTTGCTGCTTCAAAAACGTGAATTTCTTCGGTAGACAACTTTTAACAATAGATAATGTATATTTCTTCAAACAGACAACTTTCTATAATATAACCGATACTACAAATAGTTTGTATACACTTTTCATTGTCCAAATGGAATAATTAATTATATTGCATGGTTTGTTTTATTTGACATTCCATTCTCACTAAGTAAAGAGAGACAGTTATATTATTTTCGTTATATGTTGAGCATATCATTTGATTTTATCAGTACATCCAACTATTCCAGTATCACTACATTCATTCATTCATTATCTATTTAAACATGTAAACAAAGAATGGGTATAATTGAGACATTGACAAAAAACGAAATGAAAGTTTAATTGAAGACTATATTACATAAAAATTGTTTCCTAATAACAAGTATATCAAAAGATTGTGGTCAGAGGGAGAAAACAACTAAAACAGACTTAAATAAAGCGCATGCATCCGTAGAATACGATAAATTCGGTATAGTTCGTCGCTTCCTCTTCAACTACAAACAAACACCTTCAAATTTTATTGAAAATATTCCCCGAAATTTGAAGCTATGCAGACAGAACAGGGGACACAAACTGGATATAATGTGTGCATTTTAAGTAATCAGTAAATGATGTAGTCCTCCCTTATCAAGATTCCCGGAATCAATAAGTAGTAAATGACCTAAACATGATGTTTGCATCGAGGAAAGTGTATATGATTAACACACAACTACCATGATCACAGATACAATCAGCATGACAATTAGACATTAACATTTTATTATAAAACCACTGGTAATTACAATCACATGAATTTTATTCAACATGTCATTTTCATCCTTAATCTCTCATATTTTTGTTAAATTACGTACTAAAATTACTTCAAATATTCTACAATCATTATTCCGATCATTTTTTTATTATGATTTTCAATGTCATTTAAATTTTAGACAACTTATAGTTTAATAGTTGAGTTCATGAGTCAATTAAAGTTAGATCACTATGGAAAACCTGGAAGCACTGGACGACCGTTTCGTCCTAGTATGGGACTCTTTATAGTTTATTAATGGACAATTCATTCCTTAAAATTTCAATTATGTTAACATTTTAAACCAATCAAATTTATTAGGTTATATGTAACTGAATAAAAATTAATGAAATACAATGAATCCAATGTATTTTGTAAATATTTTCATTTTTAATTTGCTTACATTCCTAAACGAAACCAATCGCATCAAAACAGATTTCTTCATCTTGTTAAAAATAATCGAACAAATACTTAATTCATGTCAAAAACCACATTTGATAATAGATTTGTAATTTAGTCTGTCTAACTTAGATATTCTATCAAGTTTTTGATGAATTAGATTAGTTTTTTCTTGTTTCTGCAATAGATTTTATGATAACGTCACACACACTCTTATATTCAACGGAAGCTAAATGTAACCAATTCAAGACAATTTAATTTCTGAAATTAATTATCGTATATAAATTTTTGCAAGATAAAAGGAAAATTAGATAGTTATGGAAAAAAAGCGAATCATACAAACGTATTATTATATGTATAGAAATATTTCGAATACTCAAATATTTTTTGATTGAGATCATGGATCGATCAATGTTAGACCACCATGGAAAACCTGAAAGTGGAGAAGATTTTTAGCTCAGGTGGATGATTTTGGTGGAGTTTTGTTCTCTGAGCTGGATGGTTTGGTCGTGTGTGCATCCGTTATCATTAGGTGTACCATTTTCCTTCCACTTTGCTCAGCTATTCTCCATCCTAAAGGGCACTTGATTAGAGCTCTATATCTTACACTTGTTGGTAGAACATGCTGGCGAAGACAATGATGGAGAAAATATAGTTGTTCTCGAGTGGAAGCCTGCCTTTTGGCGAAATTCACGACCAAACCATCCAGCTCAGAGAACGAAACTCCACCAAAACATACCTGAAAGTATTGGACAGCCGTTTTGTCCTATTGTGGGACTCCTCAGCAGTGAGCATTCACGATCCCGCCCGCAGAATTCGAACCCAGGGTCTTCGACTTCTCACGTGAACGCTTAACCTCCAGACCACTGAATCAGAATCCAACGGTGCTAATGTCTAACCTCAACCAATCCACGAAATTGCGCCACCATCTTCCATTGTACTGAGGTAGATACCTGTCTCTACCCAACACGGATTAATTGAAACTTTATCAAATGATTGATTTCACCTCATTAAACATGACCTGTCATCGGTAGATTAAATGAAATTTTACCATATATTAACCTTATACATATGTTTCATTATGTGAAAAACAGGTATATTTATGGCAGTGATTCATCGTTTAATTAATTATATAACGGTATAATTGATAATTGATCTAAATTATTCAAAAACATGCTGGTAAAGAACTAATTGAAAGTATTTTAACATTAATGAAAAGTAATTTATTTTAATGATGTTAAATAATATTTGTTTAAAGTAGACAGAAGCGTTTAGGAAGTGAATGATGAGGAATATTTATAGATTGGGTGAATACTTTTAATGAAGTTGTATTCTCCAAGCTGGATATATTCATTACACAATCATCTGTCATTTCTTTAAGTGATTGGGCGATTCAACATACAAAAAAAAATTATAAGCAAATCTACCATATCAAGCTTTCCGGTGTAACAAAGCATCTATGAACTTAATAGTGAATACTAGGAATTGTTAAAAGTTCCAAACAAGAATGCACAAAAATATTTAAAGTATTACGTAACCAAAACTTTATTGTTAGAGACTAATTACATAAGAAATATAAAAACGGAATTTTAATAATAAGGAGAGAATAACGTAAACAAACAAATGAATTAACTTACAAAATGTAAGTCAATACCCCAACCGCCCACATATCTGTTGCAAAAGTTATCGGATCGAAATTGACGATTTCTGGAGCTGTTTATAGCATGAAAAGAGAGAAGAGGTAGAAATTAATCATAATGATTAGATTAAAAAACTGAATTAGGATATTATGACGACGATAATAAAACAAATATTTTTGATTCAGCTTGTATTGGTTATTTAAATCTTCTCATTGACGTTGAAGACTGCAAATGGTCAGTCTCTTTTGGGATATGTGGATCGTATGCGGATTGTCTCGATAGTGCTTTAAGTCACAATCATTATAAATAGAGAAAGATGGTGGCTAGAAGTGGAATCCAGGATCCGCATCTCATCCTATTTAAGACTCATCAGTTGGATGTCCCAGCAAAGCCAGAGTTGATGTTCACTCCGGGACTGACTGAGTTCAGTCCTAAACGTCAATGGAGGGCTTCGAATGTCCAATAAAAGATGAACTAAAACTCACATCATCGTAAAAGCTAGTGGCTATCTGGAATCAGTAGCTAAGTGGATAACGTGATGGCGTTTGAAGTGAACAACACTGAGTTCGAGTCTCGGAGTGGACATAAACTCTAGGATGCACGTACATTCAGCTGATCAGTCACAAATAGGACGAAATGCGTGTGCTGGATTCCGCTGCTTGCCATCATCGATCTTTGCTTACAATATTTTTATTATTATTGGTGTTTATTAGTAATATAATAATCATCTGTCCTATAACCAGAATAAAATGGAAATGGATAATGTGCTAACTATAACACAACGTAAAATTTTCGAAAGCGAGTCTATGTAATTCATTGTTAAACAACTATGCAGTATATGTAAAGCTTAGATCGCAAAGTATTATGATATACCTCTGCAGCAGAACATCATAGTAAAAACAAAGTTATATTTAGATGCAGTAAAGTACCGAAAATTGTAATATCTAATTAAGTTTACGTTAGTCAACTTCATAGATATGCTAAAATATTGGCATGTAGGATTAAGTTAGAGGAAACATATAAAGTTGAAGAGGACAAAAAGAATATCAGACTAGAAAATTGGTATGAGTTATTCAAAGTCTCTACAACAGATATAGAGAGCTAAACAAAATATGGTGACATTTAATTTGGTACAAGTATTTTAAAAGTATTCAATATACATGTTGAACAACTTTCTTCATCTAACCAGGTTTATTTTCAAATTGCTTACAACAAATATTTCTACTTCTATTTTCACTCATTAATTTACTAAGAACGTTTCTAAGATCAACAGCGTTATTAGACTAGATAGTTTTGTCATTCGTATTAGTAAATATCTTCAAATTTTTATGTGTAATCAAAACAATCAGGTAGAAACCATGTATAATTTCAAAAATTACACACTTCTTATCAAAAGATGTTACTTCTAAACAACACTAAAAAGAACAGAAATTGGTAGTGAGTGTTAAAAACTGGGATTAATTAGTAGCTTATACTAATTCTGAGAAAAACTTTTCATTCTCGTCAATACTGCAAAAATAAACGACAATATAAGTTTGTGTCCGCATTTGAAAAAAAAAAACAATAAAACATGTAACGAGTGGAGAAATATTGACAATTAACTTAATATTGATCAACTGAGAAATTGCCTACAAGGTTTAAGTGTCCTATGCGGATAATAATAATAATAATAACACTAATGATAATAATAAACATACGAACGATGAATTTACACAGACGGAATAATCGATTTGTATGTGTATGTGCATCTGTATGTACATGCGTGTACACAGTAGGTTTGTGTATATTTGTACTAACTGGCAAAAGAAGTCTGTTTATGTGTACGTGCATAATTAATTTCACAAAATTGAGAATTTTTCAATTTTGTCTTAAATATAACAGGATATTATGCAGTTATTAGAGTTTATTTTATGAGTCAGACAGGGAAATACGGAAAAAATCCATAATTTTATTACAGAAGTGTTCATAATAGCTGCTAGACGGTCATTTATGGACGAACCAATGAAATTAGGGATAGCAAGTTTTGGATTTGGGTGCAAAATACATTTATATAAATAGCATTTTGGCATTATAGCTGATGTCAATTAGTAATGAAATTTTTTTACATTGATCAACAAAAACGTAGAACTTCGTACGTACGTACATCAGTTCGAGTTGCGATACTACATTAGCACAGAGATGCATTTGTCGATTCAAATCACATATTGGTAGAGGTAGTAGAAGTATAAACAGTAATCGGAAAGATTAGGGTTTGAAGATATTATTCAAGGAGTACAATCCAGTGAAATAGATTTAGAAAGAAAAAAAAGAAAGGGACGTGAAGAATTCAGAAGATTAGAATTTGGGAGAACATAAAGAGTGGATGCACCTGCACCATTGCAAACGATTTTGAGCCATGTCATTCAAAGTCTCTAACCATCGGTTGCTATCGTCTCGCGGATCCCAACCAGGTATTCTACACCTACCAATATGGCTCAGTCCACTACTTGTCAGTGACTTCATGGATTTGTGTCATGTTTTGGTTTGACCGCCCCTAGCTTTCTTCCAACCTACTTCTACACCACAAAACATCGCTCATCAGGGCAGTCGGTGGTTGGGCATACGTAACATATGTCCCATTTAATTCCAAATTTTAATACTAATTCCTCACATTAACTTATAATTCTTTTTTGACACTGGTAAGTTGATGACTTGTCTCAAGGTCACTATAGTGTTGCTCAAAGGTCATTCACAAATTATAGTCCCACCAAAAATATATTCCAATCGAATACGTTTGGGTAGAAACTACTGTAAAGATTAATTGAAAATGGTTTCTTACTTTTAAAAATAATCAAAGAGGAACTGTTGGAAAGCTAATTTATTTTTAAAATGAAAAAAAAAACAGAAGTTCGAATCAACATGCTAACGATATGTGTTTTTCTTTTAGATCATCATATACATTTGCAATAAATGTATTTCTGAATTAGTCAGATTAACCAATCTTGGATACTGAAATAAAAATACATTTAAGAATGTTGCAATAAAGTCTCATAACTGCTGAAGTTACTCAGCTGCTAAGAACCAGACCAGTTGAAGTTACATTAGGATATGTGGTACAGTAGTTTGAAGTATAATTACTAAACAAATGAGAGAAACACTACAGACTATAACTATAGTCAAATGACTATTAACTTCAAAATTATAGTCATATATTTCAAACGTTGTATGACGAACTGGTGACAGGTTAGCATCCTTTAAAAGCTTTGTACTTAACATTCAGTCAGTCACATGCAACGTAGAGAATGGAACATATGTGCATTGGTTCAAGTTTCCCTATTCTGTTAGCAAAACGAGATAAAGTTACAAGACAAATCTATAAGTAGTAGAAGTAGTAACAGTATCAATAGTAGTAGAAAATATAAAACACAAAAGATATTATTGAAAGAGCAAATATGGATTCGTGGAATCAGAAAACCGTAAGATAATGTACGAATTTGAGATCCAAGTAAAAGCAAAGAATAAATATATTCACGCCATTGCGAACAGCTCTAAACCATTTCGTCCAACACCTCCAACCACTGGTTACGATAATCATGCCGACTCTAACAAGGTAATCTCTACTTGATTATACGGTTGAGTCCGATTGTCAATGACTTCATTAACTGATGCCATTGCTTTGATCTGACCACCCATAACTTTATTTCAAACTACTCCTATACCATACAACACCGCCCGACGAAGTAGGCGGTAGTTTTGTATGCTGCATATATGTCTCAACCAAGTGTAGTGACCGACACGTTCAGCTACTCCACTCCCTACCGTTAGCTAAGGTGTTGATCCAAACCAGTCCTAAGAAGATTTCGGATTTAGAGGCAGAGAATCAAATCTCAAATATGGTTTCATTGTTGTTTAAAGTGGTGAGAAGATTCTGAAAATTATCAGTCTTCAGTAACCTGGGGCATATTATCTGCGTATTCTAAGTCAACAAGTGATTTTGCTTATGGGAGACCAATTCTTGAAAAAGTTAGACGACGAGAGTGTTTTCGCTAAAAGAAAGTCTATGACAAGTTAAACAAAAATGAGGGAAGTGGAAAACTGAAGTTGACGGCACTGATGACAGTTCGCCATAACCTCAAACTTAATCAGCAGTATTTGAGTAAAGAGCTTGCATAAGGTTGATTGCTTTCGTTTGTATGACTTTTAATGACAGATACTGCCATAGAACATCTTGATCAACAGAGTCAAACTTTTCCTTAACGTCGAGGAACATAGCTATAGTTTGACGTCGGGAGGTACAATTATGTTTCAAGACCTGACGAACGGTGAATATCTCGTTTACACATTCACGTCCGGGTCTGAAACCAGCCTGGTCTACTATAAAATCACTTCACTTCGGAGAACACCACATCTAAAAGTAGTTTGTTGACATAATATTGACACTTTCAAAATGGACAAATACACAACTGAAAGTGATAACTAAACTTCAATCAAACCAAACGGGTAGATAAACAAGAAACAATTATATGGTGTGCTGCCAAATGTAAATGTACTTTAAAATAACTTAGGAAGGAGAAATAAACAATCAAAGCGGATAATAACAATGAGAATAATAATGAAAAGAACATGGAGAAACATGACTAGAAAAAGTCAGACAAGATGAAGACAACAAATGTATGAGAAACATTGATGATGATAATAAACTGTTTTTTATCATCAGTAAGATAATAAATAAACAGATAAATTTGTGCAATTACTATCGACTTTAGAGTTGAGATGGTGAAGAAGATTTGTAACTCAGATGAATGATTTAGGTGTTTTGTTTCTCGAGCTGGATGGTTTGGTCGTGGACCTTTGCTTTGCATGTATAGCCGCTGATCTAACTCCGAACTTCATCCATTGATTTGTATTCTTGAATATCAATTATTTAAAGTAAGGGTTCATTACTTAACGATTCAGTTATAATCAGCTGATGCTTTAAATGAATACTATACATTTGAGAAAAATGACAGTTTATGGCAAACAAATAAGAAAGTCTACCCACATGTTTTCTTTTCCTGATATGACTTGGTGATTTTTTTACGAATGACAATTGTA